ACTCAAAATACGCTTCAGCCCGGTTTCAGGTACAAACCAATATTTATCATGGGCCAAAATAACATGTGACAAAAAATCACAGATACTTGGAACAGTCACACATGGAACCTATGACTGAAAAATACTCGTTTGTGTCATCCCCAATTCTGCCACGAGCGCGAGTTAAACTCGCTACGCCACTGCTGCGAAACGTCAAATTACTCGTTGTCGAGTGACAGTTGAGACTTGTTTAGTTTATTTATTGGAAGGAGCGACCCGTGGCGTTGCCCACGTTGACCTGTAGTTACGTGTGCAATTTTTCTACAACAGTTCTGACCGATCTGAGCCGAGAGTCAAATATGGATAAATAAAATGAAACGGTATTTGAACATATTTATTTTCAAACAAGGATTACACCATAGAACAAGGCTTATATAGAAACGACTCTTACTCTTGTAGAAAGTGTGTCGCTAAAGTGGCGCGCCCCGGTGGCTGAGAATTAAAGAATTCAAACAAACCTGCATTATGAGCCCACTACACATGCTTATTTTTAATTGTGCCGCAAGGGGCAGCTGATAATAGGGATAAATGACACAATTACACAAAAATACATATAAATATATATATTACTTGTTGTTTATTGTTTATATAAATACTTTTTACAGACAAAAAAATTATTTGGAGCATTTTTAGGAATAACTTTAAAACAGACGACTTTTGTGATAGGAAGCCGTGCATTTTCTAACAGCCTTTAAGACACCAATAAACAGCTACCATCTTCGCAGATTATTGCCGATTTATGAAAACAGATAAGGAAAAAGATAATCTGAAAATATGAAAATATCATTATTCATTTTGAACAGAGGTTTCGGTTTAAATATTAATCTGTAATTCTACATAACATAGAGGTATTAAGTACCGGTTTCAGCGGTGACCAACCCGATGCTATGAACTAGCTCTAATGAGAAAAATATCCTGTTTTCCATTTATTTGTTTCTTGATGAAAATGCCACCTGCATAATAAGCTAAGT